ATTTACAGCAATGACCTATTAACTTGAGAGAGAGAGAGCAAGAGATGGAGAATGAGAGAGAGAGAGAGAGAGAGAGAGAGAGAGAGAGAGAGAGAGAGAGAGAGAGAGAGATGGAAAGGAAAAGAAACAAGATTGAGAAATTTAGAGTCAGCGAACATGAATAGGGGTCTGTTGGACTGAGGATCCACCCCGGCAAGTCAAAAGTCCTAAGGATATAATATGCTCTACCAAAGGAGCAGATCACAGTAGAGGGAAATGCATTAGAAGACGTCGAATTCTTCTGCTATCTTGGGAGTATAATTGACAGAGAGGGAGGAACGGGCGCTGAAATAAAGTCCCACACTGGAAAGCCACAGACTGCATTTATTTCTTTGAACTGGATTTGGAGGACTGGGGATATCTCATTACGAACAAAGCTGAGGATTTTCAACTCAAATGTGAAGTCAGTCTTGTTGTATGGATGTGAGACATGAATGCATCTCAGACGTGCATAAATAGGATCCAGGTTTTCCTGAACAAGTGTCTTGTGAAGCTACAGAGGATCAGATGGACGGACAGGATCACCAATGAAGAAGTATTAAGAAGAGCGAGACAGAGCCCAGTCAGAGATGAGGTGGGAAGAAGGCGCTGGCGATGGATTGGACACACTTTAAGGAAGTCAAGCAACTGCATAACAAGAAAAGTGTTAGATTGGAACCCACAGGGCAAAAGATCAAGGGGAAGACCACGTGGAACTTGGAGAAGAGTCACGGAAAAGGATGTACAGAAAAGTGGGAAGACATGGAGTGACATCAAGCGACTAACCCAGGTTGGGGAAAGGTGGAAGGTGTTTGTTCGTGGCCTGGGTGAGAAAGGAAATGATGATTATGAATATGAATAGAAAACACATGCATGTGACATATTAGCAGAGCACGACATTAAAGCAAAACAACTTACGTTCCAACATATGACAAGAAAAAGATCACCACTTAGTGGCGTTTTGGGGGTACCGATTTCATCAACTCCAAGATCTACATTTGATCGTGCGCTACATTTACGTCCTATTTTCACCTATTTGTAATTCTCTGTCCTATTAGGAATAGTTTGAGTGCTCACACAAACAAATCCATCAATATAATTTGACTAAATTATAGCCATTTTAAGGTAAACTCTCAAATTGGGTGCATAACAGATTGTGGTATCCATTGCGTACTGAAAGAATTAAACAGTTATTAGTTTTTTGTGACAATGCCCGTGTGCACGAAGGAAATTTCCACTTGTTGCGCGGCCGAGAGTATAGTGTAAATGAAACAATGAAGCAATTTTCTCTTTTTCTCTCACTTCATCGCAAGTAACGTGAAGATTTCGAGAAAGAGCAAGATGCCGAATGTGTGGCAACATAGTGAAGTCAGGCGCTTTTAAAAAGAATTGAATCGAAGAAACCGACATTGGGCAATTTTCATTGATTTCTGTTTGTTTATTTGTTTGTTTGTTTGTTGATTTTGAGCTCACCACCCTTTGTGTCCATATAAAAACACATTCCAGAGTGGAATTTACTGCATGCAAAACGTTGATCAACTGTAAACAAAAAATAAATTTGCAGTTTCCGCGAGCACTACCGTTTTGGAAGTCATCAAACTTTGGCAGTCGTTTCTCTCGACAAAGTTGCTTCTGACACAAGGTGAT